GGACTTCTGGGAGTTGAAGTCCGCCAGGCTTCAAGCGGCCAAGCTTGGGAGACCTTTCCAAGCCTGAGCATCCCTCGGAAAAGAAACGGAGCATCCAAACCACCCAGCCAGCTCCGTCCTTTGCAAAGCAGGCGCCGAGAAGCGTCCAAGCTCCGGACTCGGCTGCATTTGTTAGCCGGGGCCAGGCTTGCAAACCCACACACGGGCGCAAGTCCCGGCCGGCGCGCTTCCCACCGCCTTTTTGCAAGCAGGGCGAGCGGACGGAAACGGGGGACAGACAGACAGACAGACAGACAGACACACCCAGCCCCACCACACACCCCAGCAAGCGGAGCCGGGCGCACGTGCCGAAGGTTCCCGGTTCCCCGCCCCGCGGCCCCAACTTTCAGCCCCGCGGACTTCGGGGAGTCGGGGGGGGGGGAGCGGCGGGCGGCGGAGGAGAGCACGTGGCGGGGGCCACTTACCGGCAACCGAGCGACCCTGGCAAACGTGCGTCTCGCAAGGGCGGCGGCGGAGCGCGGGGTTCAAGCCGTCAGCTCTGCCGCCGGCCAGGCTGCATGGCGAGGAGCCCAGCCGCTCTTTCCGCAGCTGCAGCAGCGGCGGCAGCAGCAGCCCTGGCGCTTCGCTCGCCACCCGGCCGGCCAGCTCCTCCTCCTCCTCCTCCTCCTCTTTCCCTCGGGCAGCTCCGCTCCCGAGCGGCTCCTCTGAAGGGGGTGACGTCGCCGCCGCCGCCGCCGCCTCCCCGCGCTATTTATACCCGGGGCCTGGCGGTTCATGGAGGCAAAAGAGGCAAAGCCGGCGCTCCGGCCAGCCAGCGAGGCTCGGGCGTGGCGCTCGCTCCCCTCAGAGCTTTCAGCGGGCCGGAGGCCGCTCCCCCCCGCCCCGGCTCCCGGGAGGCTCCGGCTTGTAAGGCCGGGCGCACCTCTGGAAGGCGGGCGCCAAGGTGAGCCAAGCCGAGGCAGGAGGGACTCCCTTCTCCGAGCTCCTGCCTGACCGCCCCCCCCCGCCCCCCCCCCCGCGCGACATCATCGCTGGAGCTGATGGCGCGAAATTCACCGGGTGGGCGGTGTTGCTGCTCCCCCCCCCCAGGAAGGAAGGAAGGAAGGACTGGCCCTTAACACAAGAGCATCAATCGGCGTCTTTTCTGCAGAAAAAAAACAATTCCTTCCAACCTGCCTTTAATCGTATCCTGCACGAGTCAAAAAAGGGACTGTGAAAATATCTACAGACCCCTCACGTCCCGGACATAAACTGTTTCAACTCCTGCCCTTAAAACGATGCTATAGAGCCCTGCACACCAGAACAACTAGACCCACAATGAGAGTTCTTCCCCGAACGCCATCGCTCTGCTAACAAATAATTCACTCAGTACTCTCCAACTATTTACTAAGTCTGCATTACTATTACTATTAATCTTCTCATCACTCCTTGTCACCCATCTCCTCCCACTTGTGACTGTATGACTGTAACTTTGTCCCTTGTATCCTAATGATTTATACTGACTGTTTCCTAGTAGGATTTGATTGCTTATTGTACCCTATGATTATTATTACGCGTTGTACCTGATGATTCTTGACTCTTGACAAATGTACCTTTTCTTTTAAGTGCTAGAGCCCACTGCAACTACATAGCCAAAAAGGCATTAAGAGTTGTTAACCTAATCCTACATAACTTTTTCTCTGGTAATATCACACTACTAACCAGAGCATGCAAAACATTTGCTAGACCAATACTTGAATACAGCTCATCAGTCTGGAACCCACATTACGTATCTGATATTAGCACAATTGAGAAAGTCCAGAAATATTTCACAAGAAGAGTTCTCCACTCCTCTACTCGTTGTAGAATACCTTATGCCACCAGACTTGAAATTCTAGAACTAGAAAACCTTGAATTACGACGTCTTCTGTCTGATTTAAGCATGGTATATAAAATCATACATTGCAATGTCCTACCTGTCAATGAATACTTCAGCTTCAACCATAACAACACAAGAGCACACAATAGATACAAACTCAAGGTTAACTGCACCAAGCTTGATTGCAGGAAATACGACTTCAGCAACAGAGTGGTCAATGTCTGGAATACTCTACCCGACTCCGTAGTTTCTTCTCCAAACCCCAAAAACTTTAACCTTAGACTGTCTACTATTGACCTCACCCCTTTCCTAAGAGGTCTCTAGGGGGCGTGCATAAGCGCACCAACGTGCCTACCGTCCCTGTCCTATTGTTTCTTTTATTTTTATTTTATTTTTCTTATATGTACCCATTTCATGTATTCATAACTATGTATACACTCATACTTATTATCTTGTAAACAATTGACAAATCAAATAAATAAAATAAATAAATAAATAAACACTGAGAGCATTTGCACCAAAGACAAATTCCTGTGTGTCCCATCACACTTGGCCAAGAAAGAATTCTATTCTATTGAAGAACAGGAAGCGTGAGCAGGAGCCAAGGCAGATGCTATCCCAGCTCTACCAATCCATCACAGGTGGTCACCCAGTTTCATCTAGACATGTCCCACTGACTTAGCATGTTCACGTGGGGCAGAAATCCAGCAAGTGAATCTGAATCCCATTCCTATTCCTATTTTATTGTATACCACCCCAAGTCCCTCTTTGCCCATGTGCTGTCCCAGCCAGTCTATGGGAATTGGATAGTTACTTAGGAATTGTGAGCTGTCCCCTTAAGGGAATGCATCATGGTAAATGTAGTTAAAGGTATCCTGGGAAATGTAGTTCATGTCACGTGGCCACATCTGTAATCCTGATTGGTCACTAGTTTGACCCTCGATGGTTTGGGGGAGGTTTTCCTCATTCTTTGTCTGAACTCTCTAACTCATGGCAGCTTCTTTCTATTGCTACGAGATGGGTTAGGAGATAACCATCTTTTACTACAAGGCAGATATACAAAGGATTGGTCATTGAAGAAGAACTTTGTCACAAACATGAGTTAGGAGGATACCTGATGAACCAATAAATGTAATTTGTTATGGACGTCTTGTTGAGTTATCTATCTGCATCTGTACAACTTCAAATCCACCTCTGTGCAGAAGGCAGAAAAGTAAAAGATTCAGTCCTAACCCATCTGTATAAAACTGTTAATTTGGATTTGTGATAAAGCAAAGTAATATTGAAGCCAGGAGTAAATACGCAATGTTAATCTAAACCTGCATTTCCCATTGTCTCTCTCTGTGAGCATCGGAACATTTTACATGCTGTTTGCATGGTGGGAGGGGCTGGAGTTCCCCACATGCTACAAACAAAGAGAATTTTCCAACACACCCACCCCCCACTTCTCTGCTCAAACCGTCTTCCTGCTATCTCAGAGACTCCATTTGCATAACAAGGAGAGTTAGAAATCCCCCAGTTCTCAAAGGATAATCAAACCTCTGTCTTAAAACCCTTTACAAAAGCAGTTGGAAAGTTTGAGAAATCTTGTTTGTATTTTTAAACGGAAACGAAAAGCTGATTCTGCTATGCTCATCTGGAAGGGAGACAAAGCCATTAAAGAAACCCTTTCCAGCCAATTTACAACTGATAAAGACACATTGTAGTTCCAGGAAGAGGCAAATTCCCCCTCCTTTCCTCATCAGCGAAAGAAGTGCTGTGTCTCAAATTACCATTCTTAACTCAGAAAGAACTAATTTGTAAAAGCAAGGAGGGGCCAAGTATCTCTCATCCATCCCTGTATTCATCCAATTACAAACCCTTTCCAAATGCAATGAGAAAGTTTCAGTAATCTTGGTAGCATTTCTAGAAAGGAAAACTAACTTTGCCCTGTTCATTCCACCTGAAAAGCTTGTGCATTTTTCCAGCTCAGAGGCAATAAGAGAAGCCTCTCCAGCTATTTTTTACAACCATTCTGGCCGGATTATTGGGGTTATAAATCAAAGCTACAACAAGTAAGCTATGTGAACAAAGAACAATTTCCTTTTCTTCACGAAGCATAGAGTTAGGCCATCTTATTTCTATGCTAGAAAAATTTAAGTATAACAAGACACATTGCATATAACCCTTTAAACTGTTGTACTTATTTGATGAATTTCTCTTTCATCGAGTACGGAATAAATATCTTTGGGACCCAACCACCCCTCTCCTAAAGGGCAACATCACATCTTGGTAAAGCAGCCTACATCTCCATCTGGTGGTCAAGAAGAAATTTACAGTGAAGTTAAAGAATTCTTACCATTTTTTTCCTTTTTTCAAGAGTAGGCAGGAAATTCTCCCCCCTCTTTTTTCTTCCACAAAGAAGTGAGACTGAAGCAACGCAGCCCACAGCTACATCTGGGGCTCAAAGAGAAATTTCCCAGACTTTGATTTTTTTTTTTACACAGTTTCTCAAATTTGACCAGAGTGATTATCCAATGACTATCCCTTTTTTGAAACCATTGTGGACAATTTAATCAATTTAATTCAAAGGTCCCAAGAGTAACTGCAACCTAACATGGGTGTAGCAACAGCATCTTCCTGACCCTCTGCTGCCACCTTGTGAAGCAAGTGACAATAACAGGCATATTTCTGCATTCTGCCCTCAAGTCTTCAGACTACGCTAAGCATATTTCTGCATTCAGCCCTCTAGTCTTCAGACTTCGTGACGCAACCTCTGGTGCCCCCTTGTGTTGCAAGCTCACAACACACCCTAGAAGCAGCCATATTGTGGGCTGTGCTAGCATCGCCCAGCCTCTGCAGTGCCACCTACGTGCTCAAGTATTAAATCCAGCAGCAATTCTACTTTCTGCTACCTGCTTGCAGCACACCTAATACAAAAAAGGGAATTGCATGGAAAATCACTAAATTTTTCCAAAGTCACCTTTTACCAATTTGAAACATGGCGACTGCTTCATCAATGACAGATGTCCCTGCAGTACCAGAGGACTTGAACTCTCCACCCATCCTTGATGTAAATGTGGAGTCATACTTGAGGGAGGATTGGGACTGGGAGTATCGATGCCATACAAATTTGTGGAAGAAGCTGGAGAAGATCTACGATACCCCCACATGCAGGCTGTCCCTCGAGATAATCTGCACATTGCAACATGATCTATTTTACCTTCGTGTACAATGGAGAGACAGCGAAAGTGAACTCAAGTTCATCCAGTCAAAGCTGGGTGACCCAAAGCTCCAAGAACACATTGAATGCTTCGAGGAGCTACACAAGGAACACGAAGACTGGATTGAGGAAAGCAGTAAAGCCCTCCAGGCAGCGCTCCTCGATGTGCTTCAAAAGGAACAAGGAGAAAGAGTGAGGGCCACATCCGAACTAGGTCTTCAATCACAAGCAGCCTCCTCCCACCATTCTAAGAAAGCCTCCTCCCTCCATCCCAAACTGGCTAGATCACAAGCAGGTTCCAGTGTCTCGCGCCAATTCTCTGCTGCCGACTCTCACCATCCTTCCAGAGCATCCTCCTGTCATAGCACCGCATCTAAGGCCTCCAAAGCCGCAGGTTATGCTGACCGGGCTGCAGAAGCTGCAGTAGAAGCTGCTGTCGCATACGCAAATCTATGAGCCAGAAAGAAGGTAGCACGGGAGAAGGCGGCAGTAGCGGCTCGACAAGCAGA